ATGCCTTTTATTTTTTGTAAAGAAACCAAATTACTTAGCATCTTAGTTTGTAAACTGTAATCCTGAGACAGAAATAGCTCTGCTTTGCAGAACTAAAGGTTCCTACCACTACATGTCTGACTATTCTGCTATTGGCTTTCCAGAGCTGCGTCAGCTCTCGGTCCCAGCGCCAGCCGTGTGCTCGGTGCCGTGGCCCTGTGTGATGAACTCCCTGCATCCTGGCTTCTGTAGGCGCTGTGTCCTGCCAGATGGTCACAGAGGTCCTGGGCTCAGTCAGTCGTCTTACAGTGTGTCCTCAAGTGCATTTGGAGTGAGTTTTTGCAAAGAAAAGGCTGTTTTTCCAGCCGCAGCGTTTGAGTCCTCAGGTTGCAGAGGAAATACTTACCTGAGATAAGGACCGGTGGTAATCCGTCACTGCCTGCCCATATAATGAAGAATTAAACTCTTGGCAAATGGTGCTGCTACTGAATCAGGAACAGTGTAAGGGGTAATTTATTTGTGGAGCACTCACGCCTGCCAGTGGCTTTCTTGACACTAGATATGCTGTGGGATGTGACTTAGTTAATTATTTTGCCTCGGGAGACACTTAATTTTGGTATCAGTAGATTTACTTGTGCAAGTCCACTGAGGAAAAAGTGCACGGAGGTACGGTTCAGCCTACAAATGACATTGCTGTTCTGAGTACAAAGATGTGCTGCCTTGGTCACACAACAGTTACTGCTTGCCACAACCACCCCGTGTTGTTGCCTCTGATGGGAAGCGTCTGGTGTCCTTGACCCCGTTTCCTGATCGCCTGGGTGTCCTGCGCCGGCACACCCCCGGCTACCAGCGGCATTAAAACCTTCTCCCCCTTCCTGTTGTTCATCCCCTCAAGGCCTCTTTGCTGTAGCAGAGGATAATATTCAGAGTACATCATGCTCATCGTGAATTGCATTTGGAGAGAAGCATCTGGCTTCTCCGTCAGGGTTTCTTCTACCTGTGAATGGCGAAAAGCAGATACCAGTAGTATCTGCATCTATGGTAACGCACAATATTTTTTCTCTGAGTAAACGTTTGTTAAAAATATTAAGGTGGACATTACATTACCGGAATGGCAGGAGGAATCCGGACTTTCTGCTCGTAGGGGTGCAGGAGCTGATGGCTTCACTGTGTGCACGGCTGAGTACAGTACAGCCGGGCTCACATTCGGAATAAAGAGTTTTCCAGGCTGTGGAGCAATGTTCCTTCCTGGCTGTAGTATTTTGATCTTCTTGAAGGGGAGAATGAACAGGCATGTGTCCTTTGTAACCTAGTACAGGTTGGAGTTCAGTCCACTGAGGGTTTCAGTACTTCGTTGTGTGAGGGGAAGAACTTGCCATACGGAGATCCCCTCTGTTGGCAATCACTGTGAGCCCTGCGAAAGCAGTCCCGGCATCTCATCTGATAAAAGCCAAGTTGTTTTTATCTGGCGACTGGTAGCGTTGGGAAATGGCACGCTTCAGGGTTGTGGTGATGACCTGCTTCTCTGAGGACAGGTTTCTAGGATGCAGCCTTCAGCCATCTCAGTGCTGATCTTGTTGTGCTTCACGGTCACCTCACTGGTACGCTTAAAAACGATGTTACAGCGAGGGAATCTGCTCTGGGTCGTGGTCTTTGCACACAGCTTGACTATGGCTTCCTCTCTATCCATATCACTGTAGCATCAGAAGCATTAAAACAAAGCTGCGTCCGTGTGCGCAAGTTCCAAGCCCGTGCTTATCCTCCTGCGTTGCTGCCGCGGGTATGGCATCAGCGAGGTAGTTTGACAGCAGTTCAGGGATGCTACTTGCAGAGTTAGTGTGAATCTGAAAAAGCATCCGTGAGAGCTCCCTCCCTGTCCACTCAATTTCTGTAATTTCCTGTGGACGCCTCAAAACAATGCTTAAGATAACTTAAAAGTCTCAAGTGGAAGCATTTTTCTCACAGTCCTGTTAAATAGTTTATGATGGGGGATCGTCTCAGCACACGGGCAGTTGTGTTGGGATCTGCAGCCAGCCAGTACAGCAGTGTGTTGGATACACTTCAGTCTGAATTGTTCACTTAGTTTGTTTACTGTAGTATCCGGGTGTTTAAATATAGCTGAAGAACATCTCAGAGTTTGCTGTTCAGCTGCTGCGTGCTGGGAAGGAACTTCGGTGCTTAAAGCTGGGATAATCCGGTTCTGAAATGGATCTGGAGCCTGTAGAAATGTGCCCTGCCTTGGAGGCTCTGGCGTTCATTGAGGTACAGCTTGACCTTGCACCACTAACACGGTTCTGCTGAGCAGTAATGCTAACGACCTTGCAAGTTCAGAGCATGCTGCTGTTGCTGGGACTTCTCACCAGCAAAAAAAAAAAGATTTCTTTCAAAAAAGTATGAAAGATAGCTTTTCTTTAATTTGCTTGGGAATGGATTTTTAATCTAAAGATGGGTGGAGCTTCTGCAGCTGGATTTTGCCCATGTGGGCACTTGCACAGGTATAACACGCTGTAAAGCTGTTACCCTTCACAGCTGTTTCGCTGCTGGTACAGCTTGATGCAGAAATGGCATTAATGACGGACAGTACTGTTGCAAATGACATTAAAGTCATTAACAAGGACTTTATGGTTGAAGGGCAGAATGGTCCTTGATGGATTGTGGGTGCCAGTGCAGTACTCGCATGCTCAGTTTTACCTGTCAATAAAAAAGACCTGACGTGAGCTACGTGTGACCAGCCATGCGTGCTTCCAGTTGAATAGCAACATCTTTTTATGATCAATTATTCTCTGTGTCCGAGTTAGTGCTCGCAGAGCACTGGAGTGTGTGGCACATCACAGGGCAGTAGCTGACTTCCCTTCTCAGCGAATTACAGACACATCAACTTCTCTGTTGGGAATCTTCTGTTAAAAATAGCACGCGAGAATGCTGAAGCATTGGCGGATGCGATGGCTGGCTTGCTCTGGAGTCCATTGTTCTGTCTGGGTTACCTCTGGGTAGGTTCAAGCATCCTTTTTTTAAAGGGAAAACACGTTTAAAAGGATAATTTAACACTGTCAGAACTGAAAGCGAGGCTATGTTTCACAGAGGTGTAGTACTCCAATCAAATGTATTACAGTTGTAATTAAACTTCAAAGCCTATAAAGGCATATGATTAGCATGCATGCTAAAGTGATTAGATTTTAGTGCTTGATCTTTGAAATTGGACACCGGTGTTGATGACTTCTGTCTTATGCCTGCTGTGCATTAAGTGGTTGTAAATAGTCTAGGCTTCTGAAACAGGAAGATGCTGGCAAATAAACTAGTCTCTCAGAATATTCACATACGGATTATGTCGTTGTAGTTGAACAGAGCACAGGTTTAGGGGAGGGAAAGGTGTGAACTTCATAGTTTGCTTCTGTGTAGCTGAAAGTATTAGTTAGACCTCCAAGTCACCTCTGTGCTCGGACTAGGATGTATTTTGGATCAGAGATGACCTGCTTTGGGGAGGGGGAGGTATTCTGAAAAGGACTTTGCAGTGGTATCTGTGGAAAGCTTGAGGTTTAGATTGAAAGAAAGGAGTTGGATGGATAAGTTAACAAAGATAGTCTGTTCACCTTGAGTAGTGAGAAGTTTTGTAGTTCTCAAACTTGCGTAAGCTGTTAGGCCAAGGGTGATTATCTTACTAGTAAGTTACTTTGAACCAAAACCTTCTTTTAGATCTGTGAAGTGCCGTGTTCTGTAGATGGAAGAAAGCCTTCCAGAGTCTGTCGTGGAGCACATCAGTGCCGGACTACAAAGAACCAGTACTTCGACCACCTGAAGAGATTTCCCTAGAGGTCTACAACTTACTAGACATGCTGTGACCTTCCTTCTCCTGTTCTTCAGCCCTTTTTTAGAGGACTAAATTGGGTGGAGGCTACTGTATTGTCTTTTGTGCTTGAATTAAATGCTCAGAATAATGTTTTCAGTAGGTACCATTCTCCCCATTTCTTTTCCTTCCTAAATTTCATTTCATGAGTAGTATTCCGACTTTTGCCTTTATTCTTCTATAAGTAAGACGTCTTCTGGAGTTTTTAGATCACATAGTGGGACCACCACCACCTCGTTTTCCTGCCATGAAAAAAACCATACAAACAAGTGCTTGGCTTGTTCCTGAGCAAGGTACTGGCTTATTTTATTTTCAGTGCAAGGATAGTGATGTCTACACCTAGGTGAATAGGCTGAAGAGGTTTCTGTAGTGGTGGTTGGCTGCACTGCTGTACTGGGGATAAAGGGGAGACTTGATGTGAGACAGCTGTTCAGCACGCTGAAAAAACAGATGCAAAATCTGACTGAGGAAAATGACAAACCTGAAAGTGTGCTTGCATGTGGTCTTACTGTTCGTTGATCCCTTTATTAAGGTTGCTTTGAGCCCTTGTTCAGATGAGAGCTGCTTTCGGCCGCTGTGCGCCGTGACAGCATGAGGATGCTTCTAGGGATGGTCGGGTCGTCACTATCCCTTCTCGCTCTGTCGGTGCTTTTGAAATCAAAACAACGTTGTGCCTTGCCAAAGGAAATTATGGGAGAAAATTGCAGAGAGCCTGCTCTCTAGGATTCAAAATTGTCACCTTGAATTCAAGCAAAGCCCGCTGTGGAGGTCATGTGCCAAGGTGCTGGTGTGGAAGCGCTCGGCGCGAAGGCGGATGCTCCGAGACTGCCGCAGGCTTTGTGCTCTGTTGCCACCTTGGGATGGAGGCTGACGGAGGGTCTGGCTGGGCAAGAAGGCTGGTGCTACACACGCCTCAGGAACAGCTTTCTGAAGTGCAGTGGGTGGTTCTGTTGACAGTAGCTTCGATATTCAAAACATACTTCATTTAATTCTGCTTTTCGTAGTAATTCAGAAATTGCAATAACTTGGGTCTTGGCAAATTTATTAGACTGTGCTAAAGGAGGTGTCTATTTGGAAGCCTTTCTAAAGGCAGAATAAATATATAAAGGTTCATGGAGCTTTTTCTTTTGTTAAAGAGGAGAAAGTGATACTGAACCTTACTTTTCTTCTCTCCTTGGCAGGTTTTCTTCACCGGTGGAGAGTGAGAAATAGAGACTGAAGATGAGTGAGCTGGAACAGTTGCGGCAGGAGGCAGAGCAGCTGCGAAATCAAATCCGAGTAAGGATTGCTAATTGCTTATTTTTCGTTATAAATTTCCTCCTTTAAAAGACTGCAGCGTAACGACTGCATGGAATCCTGCATCAGTCACTGGCTCCTGTGTTAAGTTGTGCAGAGCTCAGGACATTTTCAGAATATCTGTTTAAAAAGCAGAGAAGCAAGCCATAGGTATTATGAAATCCATTCGTAGTATTTATTGACCAAAATGTTTTATTTCTTACTGTCGTTTGTTGTGTTTTGTTACTGGGCGGTGGGGGGTGTGTGTCTCTGCAGATTTTTTTATTTTGGATTTAAAAAACAAAAGAAAAGAGCAGCAAGCTTGCAGAATCTACGCACAAGTTAGGAGTACTAGAAACGCTTGTTTTGGGCTAAAATTCACCACTGCACTGCCACTTGATAAGCATGCAGTCAAAGCACGGAGTGTGAGGGAAGACCTTGCGGGGTGACTTGAAGGAATGACTATGGGCCCTATTTCTTTGCTTCCTGTTGAATTTCTTCTTTTGGAAATGCGAATCCCGCTGTATGTGCTAATCCTCTGCTGAAATTACTCGTCCAAGATACACCAGGTATGACCTGTTGTGCAGAGTCCCGGCCCCTGTTGTTCTCACTCAATGCACGGATGAAAGACAGGCCCGGCGTCAGTCAGTGTTGCACTGTGTAGAGGAATGCAAATGGATTTTGGTTTAAAATACCTTTTTTGGTGAATTTAAGCTTTATTACAGCTTTGCACAAATAAAAGGCATGCAGAGCGTTTCAGTTCTTCCTCCGCCTGATGCGTAAAGACTTTCTCACGGCCGCGTGTTGAGTTGTTAACTCAGTTTTAGCAATCAGTCAGTTTGGCTTCGTGCAAAGTGGTGCTCTGTGGAGAACAAGTACTAGGCAAGGAAGAGAGCTAAGCTGTGTTGCAGGAATGTGTGCGTCTTTAATTTTGGAGCCTAAGGACCTGATTGGCTCTTGGTGTAAGGATGTGGTTTTTTGTGACTTCTGGTCAATTTATCGCTTCTCTCCTAACTCTGTCGCCCCGACTTGAAACAGGATCTACACAGGGGTAGCTACTGCCAGTGAGTCTTTCGGCTCAGCAGCGGCAATTAGCGTCTGCCTCTTCGGATCTGAGTGCAGGGTTGGATACCTTATGCTTTAACTGTTTTAACTGCAGGTTAATACGCAGTCAGACAATGCTCCTGATGATGTCATACTTTTTCCAGAAAATTTCTGACCAAATAATTTAGCTTTGTATTTGTGTAGGTGACTATTTCTTATTAAATCATTGCGCTGTTGTCTTTCTGAACAGGTGTTTTATTTGGGAAGGGTAAGAGGATGGATACTGGGTCTAAAAGAAATTTTTTAAGTGTCTAGAATATCTAGCAGGCGGGTAATTTTCAGGAATTATCTTTGATGCACTCCTAAAAAGAGGGGAGGTTGCTAACAACATGTGATGTCTTACAGGTGGCTAGAAGCTTGCGGTCTTCGTTATTTACAGCTCATGGGTTCTGCTTGATATCTTCTCTGAGAATATAATAGTGAAAGATCAGCTTGTGCTTTTAAGTGAATTACAAGTAAGAATCTCCCGAGCAGCCTCCTAAAGCAGAATAAGCGGTGCTGCCTGGCTGTCAGTTTGCAGATAGACTTCTTCGAGTCTGCAGTGGTTTAGAAATGTCTAGTGTTACTTTTTTGGCAATATCTAGGTGATGTGAGTACCTCTGCCCCCCGTGCTGTTACTGCAGCTGTAGCTGTTCGGTACACAGGTAGGCTATGACCGAGGGGGCAAGTAAGACACTGGATTTCTAGTGCAGGAAGCTGGCAACACCAGTGAAGGATGAACTGTTAGACAGCAGGATGGCTTCGTGGCTCGCGGTGATTCCTATTTCTGTCTGTAATCATGTTCCCAAGTGATACCTGTCCTCACTTTGAGAACTGAAATCCAGGATACGGTTTTATGGAAGTGTTGCATACTTGGTGCAGTGTCCTTGCAAACTGAATGACATTTTGAACAAAAAAGACACTGTATTTCAAAAAATACATACAGTTTGGGGGAAAAAAAATTAAATCTTATGTGTGTATGCTGGGAAATCGTGTGCAGGGATCGATTTTTCTCACAAATTCTGCGTTTTCTACTGCATGAACTGAGAAAAAAACTACAGTTATGTAGAGGAACTAATGATTCTGTTACGAGGCTGCATATGGAGAAATGACAGTTAAAATGTGACAAAGTGGGCTGTTGAAACTTTGCTTTTCCTGCAGCTTTGCCAATCGTATGGCAAGTTTTAGCCAGCCTCAAGTACCAGTGTTGCTAATAGCACTCAGTTTAACAAAAAACTGCTTTCCCTTGTTGAGATTGTGTTCAGAATTCATGTTACGTTCAACATCTTCAAGTGTTTCAGCTCAGCTAAACAACTGAGATTGTTTAAAATGCAGCGTGTTTCTTCCTGTGGATGAAATAAGTCCGGAGGGCTAGGGGATTTGCTGCTCTGGTATTTTAAACCCCTCCTGATTGCAGACATCAACATTTTATAAATATTTCTGCCATTCAAACCTTGTAAAAACCAGTTGAGATGACTTAGTCCACTTTCTGGGAGGAAAACCGTCACGGGTGGTCACAATAAACACGCGCTACAACATCGTGAAAGTGGCAGTGTCAAGTAACTCTCAAGCGCGAGCTTGAAGGATTTCAAGATCCTCGTCTGACTCTGTTGGTGCGGTTCCAGAACGCGCGAGGGAATGTTTCCGTTCCTTCTCTCAAAAAAGGACATTGCCATTCAGTGTCCAGAGGTGACGCCTCCTTGGGGCGCGGGGGACGCAGGAATCGGTGGCGCCGGCGGCTGGCCGGCCCTCGGGGGATGCCCGCTTCCCTGGTTGCAGGAGTTGGAAGGTGTTGAAGGAAGCTGCAGGGGGTTAGAGAGGGTCTTGTGGTTGATCCTTCAGTAATGCTGTTGATAGTTTTATCTTCAGCTTGTGCTGTAGAGTTCCTGTCTAATTTTAAGCCGATTATTTTAAACCAGGCTTCTCGGAAGTGACTGCTGACTGTGCTATTCCTGGTTTTCAAAGACGAGAGTCTGGGTTGCAGCAGTGCGGTGCAACCGATGGTAACTGGAACTGGCTTTTGAAAACTGGGAGTGTGGCAGATGAGGCTCAGCCCCATCCAACCCGGTCCTCTGGTTATACAGACGAAAGCAAAGGCTGTCTTCTGTTCTGCTGTCCTGATTAACATACCTGTTTGGAGACCTGAGCACCATCAGTCCACGATACACTATGTGTTTCCTTCCTTTAGTCTGAGTGCCTCAGCAGCTTAGGCCTCAGGAAGCCATCTGTCTGTCTGTCTGTCCTGCTCTCCAGACCTTGCCTGTTGATCTTCATCCTGCGTCTCACAACCGGCGTGCTCCCCCTGTCATGGCACGGAGAGTTCGGGCCAGCGCCTCACCTAGCCCAAAGCTGGCTAATCGTACGTTAACGTATCTGGTTGTTTTTTCAGGTGCATCAGTTCTTCCGCTTCTCCTGGTGCTCAGCACACCCTGAGCAAACACATCCACACCGGGGAAGGAATACAGGGACGAGGGTAGGCACTGGGACTTTAGGATGGCTCCAGATGCCTTTGAATCACGCATTCCTGTAGAAAGGCAGACTCAAAGGTTGCCGGGGCATGACCCTCCTAAAGTCCCTCTTCCTCCACCACCCCCCAGTTTGTGTGCTAGTGCTTTAGATTCCGTGGGCGATAAACCACAAGGGTGACAGAAGGCGTGTTGGCCTGTGAGTGGTTGTTGGCCTGTGGCTTCGGAGTGCGGTGAAGTCCAGCTGAAGTTACCTCTTCCTTTAGATGCTTCCTCTCAGTTGACACTCGGTGTTGCCTTTTAGATTGAAAGTGTTCCGTTCTTTCGTTTCAGGATGCAAGGAAAGCATGCAGTGACACAACTCTTGCTCAGGTAGGTTCTTGGCTCTGCGTATAGGCTGTTGTTTGATACATAAAAAAACCCCCAAAACCCTACAATTTTGTGACTGTACCATGTTCCTGTTTAGTAGCTGAAAGAGCAGAGTGAAGCCAGCCTTTGGAAATGTACCGTGTGTTTATGCAGTTATTTAAAACAAAACGCCACCAACCCAAACCCAAACGAACAAGGAAAACCCACACCACAGAAAAAGCCCAACCAGTCAAAAAAAAAAACCCTGACTGTCTTAAAGGGTCCTGCTTCCAGCTTACCTTTCAGAGAGAGTGTGGGTTTGTGCTTGCTGTATTTAGCAAGACTTAAATGTCTTCTAGCTGTAATTCAGACAAGTATTTTGCATTCAAAGTTCTGCCGTGTTTTAAAATTAACAGTTTTGGTCAATATTGGAGGATTTTCTTCCATTTATTTTAAGAAAAAATTCTCAGATTTGGTAATCTGAAACAGCCTCATTATTACATAGTATTAGTGTAAAAAATGTTCTGAAATTCCAGGTACAGCCATTGTGAAGTGTAGTAGTGTATCTTCCGTAAAAAGCTGCTTTCCCCGGCATTGCATGGACCTAGTCCTGAGCCGTACACTGAGGTTTTTTGTGTTGCATGCCAAAATAGCTTACTTCCTATCAAAGTTCAACTGTGTGTACTTATCTTGTGTATTAAAAATAGCCCTCAGCATCTCAGGGGTTTGTTTTATTTGTTTTTAGATCACAACAAGTCTGGACTCAGTGGGTCGGATTCAGATGCGAACAAGGCGTACGCTTAGAGGTCACTTAGCCAAAATCTACGCTATGCACTGGGGATCCGACTCGAGGTGTGTACACGGGATGCTGAAACCTGCAGCGTACGGGTTAGGAATGAGATCCTCGACTCCAGCACGAATGCCGGCTTTGGGAGCCCCGTGGCCTGGGGCTGGTGCCCTTGCCGGGGGATCGCGTGCCGCGGCTGCGCTGGGGTTTGGGTCTTTGGTTATGCTGTGCCTTTTTAGAACCAGTGAGAAGCCTTGAAGGAAAGGAGAGGGACTTTGCCTGTTCTCACCACAGACATTTTGCCTTTTCTCTCTTCAGTTTTAACTGAGCTCTTTGAGTCTGCGTAAGCAGAGGAGGGTGTGTGGTCAGGCCTGTCTTTGGAATGACAGATCCTGTATTTTCCAAGGTGTTGGATAATTATGTAACTTCTGTTATAACAGATATAAAAACTTTTAAGAAGATACATTGGAAAAAAAAAAACCTTTTGTACACAGCGAGGAGTCACTTAGTTTCTAGGACGGAATTCTGTTACACCGCCTTCAGAGCAACTGATGGGGGGGTGTCAGCAGAGCCCTGTGGCCTGTTCTCCTTCGTGTAGACCAGACATGCTAGAATATGCTCTCAGAAGAGGATTTATTTTGCCCTAAATTTCCTGTTTGTTTTTGTATACTAAAATATTAGTATACGAAAAATAAAAGCAGCTGTGGAGAGAGTTCATAAAATGGGTTTCCAGTAAGTTGGGTTCTGTCCCTTGTTACTCACGAGTCCCGGGGGACACTGGATTCTTCACTAAGGTTATCTGTGGCTTTTTGCATCTGTTTTCCAACACATCTTGTCCTCCCCCTTCCCCCCCAAAAAAGGGTAGTAATGAAACGATGACATTTCTGAATCACTTGGTAATCGTGCATGATTATGTCTATTCTGAGATTTTTTTTCTTTGTTTTATACTGACATCCTCCTTCTGTGTGTCTCTGTTTAGGCTACTGGTCAGTGCTTCTCAAGATGGAAAATTAATTATTTGGGATAGCTATACAACAAATAAGGTAGAGTTATTTATAATCCAAATTATCAACAATTCATGCGTAATTTGTGTGTTTTGAGGGTGTTCGTGTCTATTTTCTCTGTGTTTCCAAGGCAAAAATGAAAAGAAGCAGTCTTGGGTTTAAGTTGTAGCCATACACAACCTCAGAATTCACAGTAATGCTTTGCTCTTAAGGGTAAAGAAAGTGGTTTACTGTTGTTCTGTGGATGGTTTGTTGTTTCTTAAGGGCTGTTAAATGAGAAAAGCTTTGAGTGGTGATTTGCTGCTGTAAACTGTCCAGTTTCCATAGGTACAACCATCCCATTTTATAACCTACAGCTCAGAGATGTAGAACTGGACCAAGAAATCCAGGTGTTACAGGTGTTTAAGTTTAGAGTAGCTTTGCTGTTCAGTGATGTTGTAGTGACATTCTGTGTGTCCACCCTGGAGACTACTAGTATTTTTCATCGGGGTACGTGTGCGTGTAGAAGTGTGAGAGGGGCTGCGGCGTGTTGTAAAGCCCAAGCGCCGAGCGTAGCGTTCACGAGCTCTCTCTCTCTGAAGATGCACGCCATTCCCCTGAGATCCTCCTGGGTGATGACCTGCGCGTACGCCCCGTCCGGGAACTACGTCGCCTGTGGTGGATTGGACAACATCTGCTCCATATACAACCTGAAAACCAGGGAGGGCAACGTGAGAGTGAGCCGAGAGCTGCCGGGGCACACAGGTCAGCCATGCTCTGCCCTCAGCACTGGGTTTTGTTGCCCGCCCAGAGGCGTACTGTGGAATAGTTTTGTGGGTTATCGACTAGCTGGGGGGGAACTTCAATCACTGCTCTTGGATTTTAAGCTTTAGTTACTACTCCTGGCTCTGAAACTAATGTAACTGTCTTGGTTCTAGGATACTTGTCCTGTTGTCGCTTTCTAGATGACAACCAAATTGTCACTAGCTCAGGAGACACCACTTGGTGAGTTTTTGAGCCTTGGTGGGGTTTTGTTATCTCTTTGTCTTTTTTTCCCTATCTTTTTTTTTTCTCCAATCCCTTAACTCATGTTTAAAACTCTCAAATAACCAAGTATACCGTGTTCATGTTGTCATTTTATCTGCAGCGCTTTGTGGGATATTGAAACTGGTCAACAGACCACCACGTTCACTGGCCATACTGGTGACGTGATGAGTCTCTCTCTGAGTCCAGACATGAGGACTTTCGTTTCGGGTGCCTGCGATGCCTCCTCAAAGCTTTGGGATATCCGAGACGGAATGTGCAGGCAGTCGTTCACCGGGCACGTGTCGGATATTAATGCCGTTTGTGTAAGTGATCGCTTCCGTTTCCGCACGGGAAGGGGCAGGGAGGATAACGGCTACTGTTGCCTGACTTCAGCTTACAGAGCAGAGGAGGGGAGCTTTTTGCAGTGTGGCAGCGGGCTACAAACTGCAGCTTGTGGATAAACACGATAGGCTGAGAGGGAGCAGAAGCGCCAGGCGTCCTCAGCTTTAAGCTTTTTGTTGAACGAAAGCGTACTTGGTATTTTCTGCTGAAAAGAGCTTTCTGCGAAATGTTCTGGAAGGCAAAGCTAGAATCAGGAGTTGCGGTGAATGTTCGTCCCTGGAATCAGTTTGTAATGTTTAGAAACTGGATTATATTTCCTCTCTGTCATAGTAACGCTGTGTTCCAATCTGTGAGATGCAAGCTCTGATAAATCGGGAACGAAATCTAAGTCTAAGCTGCATCTGGGTTTGATAAACATGAAAAATTATTATGGCTGAGAAAATACCAAAAGCATGACGTGTAGAAAAATGCAGTTCCTATACTTAGACCTGAATCCTGAGCTGTGCTGAGCTCTCTCCGTTCCCATTTCGAGCAGTATGGCTGCTGTAAGGGTGGCTGATGCAGAGTAGGTTTTCTGGGAACTGAACTGCACGCTGGCGAGTTCCTGCCTCCACTGAGCCAACCTGGCCGAGCGGCTCGAGCTGGAACGGTGCGCGCCGCTTGGCCCAGGTCATCTGTCCCGCAGCCAGGACGCGCCTGCTTCATTCCGCAGGAGTTGGCTGTGCCCCCTTTGACTCCTGCCATACACCTGCGGGAGCTGTCTGGGCAAAATTGCAGCCATCCTGGAGTGACCGGTACTGTTCTGGAAGCGGTTCGGCGCACAGCCTGTGGGCATTTTTCTGACATTAATCTGCTTACCCTGGCAAACTAGTCCTGTGCAATAATGCATCGACAGTGCATGACCTGCTGTCAAACTCCTGTCTCTTAATTACAACTTCCAGTTTTTCCCTAATGGACACGCATTTGCCACCGGATCCGATGACGCCACTTGCCGGCTCTTCGACCTGCGTGCGGATCAGGAGTTAATGATGTATTCGCACGACAACATCATCTGCGGGATCACTTCCGTAGCCTTCTCCAAAAGCGGCCGCCTCTTGCTAGCAGGTTACGATGACTTCAACTGCAACGTGTGGGACACGCTGAAAGGGGAGCGAGCGGGTGAGTGCGCGCCGCGCCGCCGGCTGCGGGTCCGCGTTCCCTTAGCGGATATGCGGAGTTCGTGCAGAGCCTGTGCCAGTGCCGTTGGTGACATTACGGCATCTGCTTCCTGTTGGCGCTGTTGTCTTTTGGAATGGCATCCTTGTATTGCCTGTGGTTGGATCTTCCAGTTGTTAGACAGCAGTTTCACCTATACGATGCGGGGAGTAAATGCTCTGGTCAGTGCAATACTCCAGCTCCTGGGGACTGGCTGTTACCTATCTGTGCTGGAAGATGCCACCTTGAGGCTAAGGAACAGCCTCCAAAATCACGTTACATCCCCAGAAAATGTATTTCACTGAAGTGTATGAAATCAGGTAGTACAAGATTACACATCTGCCTTGACTTCTGCTAATTTAGGTAGTAGTAAGTTACAATAGGCTCTGCTTTGGGGACCATAACTTCCTGCTGCTGGGAGAGAGGGCAAGTGGATGCTTCTAGTCCTTGAATTAGTCCCTTGTGTCGGGACAGATGGCAGGTTTGTAGCACTGCTACATCGCTCGCTTCACCCAGCGGTGGGAAGGATGGGTCTGGCTCCCTTCTGAACCTCGATTCTGCTCTTCAGACTGCAAATCCATCCTCTCCCTTCAGGGGCATGCACAGGCAGAGCGTCGCTAGACCTGGGCGTGGGAGAGCGGACGAGGGTGAGAATGGGTAGAAGGGAAGTAGGAGCGAGGCGGGAAGATGCAGGGTACAGCGCTGCTTTTCCAGCAGCTGACACAATACAGGAAGGCTCCTGCATCCTTGGGGTTAACACAGGGGGAACTCAAGGCGGTCGCTGTCTGGAGGGCACTGTCAGTAGCCATCGCGTTTCAGCGTGCGAGTACTCGATGGCTGGAGTTGTGGACAGCATTGCTGGAAAAAACAGCAGAGCCTGATTAGGGATGAGGCAGAGAGAAAACTGGAGGCAATATTGTGTGTATATGCCTTCAAATCCCTCGCTGCCGAGTTCCTTGGTTGTGATGGGTGAAGACAGGAAGGATGGTCAGACCTTGGAGCTTTGGGGGCTGCCTGGGAGAGCAGAGCAACAGCTGACGTCCTTGGCATCCCGCGAATATTAACTCTCCTTGCTTCTTCTTTTCCAGGTGTCCTTGCTGGCCATGACAACCGCGTCAGCTGTTTAGGTGTCACTGATGACGGCATGGCTGTAGCTACGGGGTCTTGGGACAGTTTTCTCAGAATCTGGAATTAACTTGGAGCCAAACATGTACATTCTCCATTTGAGACCTGGAGAGATCAATGCTGCAGCCTATAGCTGTGAAATAACATTTCTACCTTGTATTTGCAGGTGAAGTTTTTCTATTCACTGATTATTACACAAAAAAGGCTTTCTGTAAACTAGAAAAAAAAAAAATCAAGTGAAGAAATAGGGGAGGGGGGAAGAAATCACTGACTTTTTAAAAGGGGCCAGCACACGTGATCATGGTGACCGACAGACTAAGAGCCAGTCTTTTTGTTTTTGGTGGTTTGGTTAGATTGTCCCGGAGGGGTTTTTGCTTGTGCTCAGTCCGCTAATCCCGTGTCCCGGTTCTGTACGTAACGGAGCCTTCACATTAGAGCAGCCAATCATGTAACATTTGTCTGTCTGTAAAGAAACACGTTCGCGTTTTTTAAGGAACTGCATTTCTAGCTTTGCTTTTAACCCGAGACGTCACTTCCGAGTTTCGTAGTGGGTGAACTAGGTTGCTGTTCTACATGTTTTTTGTGAATTTACTGTAGATAGAGTGAAGCCCATGGTATGTACGTGTTTTTATAACGGAAGGCAGGTGAGGGGTTTTTTTAAAAGGCCCTGGAGACTCCCAGTTAATACCTACCGCCTTACTCACTCTCTTCCTGACCTGCTTGCCTGTTTTCAATCGTGGGGGTTCTTCCTTCAAGCCACTGGTTCCTGGTTCATCCGTTGGCAGCCACGGCCTCGGCACACTGAGTGGTTAAGGCCGGGCAGACTTGCACCAACAGCAAAAATGGTGAAGGAGTCAGATACCGGTGTGGTTCCAGGAGCGCCGGCTTCCTTACTGCAGCCTGTCCCAGCAGTCAGGCCACACGGGCCTTGGGGTTGGGGCGGGGCGCGGGGGGCCCTGCGGGCCTGCCGTGAAGCGGCTGGGCGCTTTTCCTCCTGACAGCTCCGCTCTCGGCGAGGAAGTGCGACGCTGGGCGTGCGGGCAGCGCTTGCTTGGTCGCCGCCATCGGCCGAGAAACCCGGGGGGACTTTGCCTGAAGTCCTGAAGATGGAAAAGTCCCACTCCAAAGCACTCGTCTGGTAGGTGCAGTGTGAATTCGCAGGAGTTGCCCTACCTGAAAGGAGCCGCGTTCCCTCACGCGCCCGCGTGACCCTCGGAAAGGTCGCGTACGCCTGGCGACTCGCTGGCTCTCCTGTGCTCACGGCAGCCTGCGCCCCGCTTTGGTGGCCGGTTTTTTTTCCTGCGACCAGCTTGGGTGGCAGTTGCCCTGCAGCTCTGACGCTGTAAATAGCCATTTCCCCTCCTCCTCCTGGCTCTGTGCTGGTCTCGGTGGCGGTCGCTCCTTGCCGACGGGTTCTGCTCGGGTAGGGCTGAGCGCAGAGAGCGGGAGAGCGAGTGACTGATGCCCCTTCGAAACTCCTGGGACGACTCCTTCTCCCCTTTGGGGTGCCTGGCAGCACCCCTGCACTCGCAGTGGGTGTTCTCTTGGGAATCTGAATGTCCGTGGCCTTTTTGGAAAGGGGCATTAAGGCTGTTGGCTTCTCTTGGGTGACCCGGTTCAAATCACGGGGTTGGTAGCGTTAACCCGCCCCCACCCGAGGTGCGGGGTTGCCTGGGTGGCTCTGGGTCGGGGGGTAACTAAGTGCCCGGTACCTCACAACGTAGCAAACCAGGTCTGTGGCCGAGAGGACGCATCGTCAAGTTTCTCATGTTTGTAACCAGAGATTTCAGTACTTCCAGCCTGTGCCTGTAAACCCGCCGTGTCTCGGATGGCGACGGTGCCAGTCGGTCGCAGTAAAGTCGCTTGAAAAAGGAGAGGGGCGCGCCTCGTGCTGGAGAAGCCGGCAGTTACCCGCAGCCGACCGCGGGGCAGGACCAAAACCGCGCTGTGTCCCGTGGCAGGAATCCCTCAGCCTTGCGCTTCGTGCCCTGTCTGCGCTGGCAGACCTGCTGTGGAATTCCTGGCGCTCCGAAGCGAGCAGCTCCTTGGGATCTTGCCTTGTTTAGTTCCTAGTGGTACACTTGGTTATTTTTTTTTAACTCACAGCTGCCTTGAGTGGATCATTGTGGAAATTTGTTACTAAGGAATTTTAAGAAAATCTTCTTTTTCTAAAGGATTCTTTTCCATAGAAGTGTGTTTCGAACCGGTTTCCTAGTTGCCACCTTTGCGAAGGCAGGTGCCATTTTTACATTCTGGTATTAAAACTCGTTTCTACGTGTGAAACTCCAGACCCAGTTTTACAGCTGTATATAACTTTTCGTAGAAGTTTGGGTGGACCGTCAACGCGGTCATGGCTCTTACAGGTATTGCTGCAACGCGTTTCCCTGCCGGGGTGGGCAGTTGGCTGAGGGAAGTGCTGAGGAACGCCAGCCCCCTGCTCGTGAGGTTCCTAGAGGCCTCACGCAGAGCCGCCGGCATCTGCCCTCGGGTGCACGGGCGGCTGTAGCGCTGCAGGCCCCGAGGTGGCTCCTGGCACGTTGCGGCGCAGGGACGCCTGCGCGCAGCTGGGGGAGCGGTACCTGGTGCTTCCTGGGGAACGGGGCGACAGCTATGGGATAGCTCCTGCCGAGGTGATGGTCGCTGGCCTGGATGGGCTTCAGGTATTTTTTTAAAGCCTAAAGGTAAC